AAAAAAAAAAAAAAAAAAAAAGAAAAGTCAATTCTGTAAATATGGATCTGTCTGTATTAAGGACCCAAATACTCTTGAAATATCTGGCCTGGGTCTAATTCTGCCCTGACTACCCAGCCCCACTGAAATCAGCAATGGTGCGGAGAAAATAATTCGGAGTAGATTATTTTCCAACAGTAGATGAACTACCCATGGACGACCCAGCAGAGAAGAGCCAAGCGAGGATTAAACCTGCCCTCGTTAAACTGACAGTTTGGAAGAGCCAGCCAGCCAAGGGCCTGACCCAAGCACTTTCCACAAGACTCAGGGTGTTCAGCGTTGGACAGTGGCCAGATTGGCTCACCATAAAGCCTTGCATTTATTTAGCACCTTTCATTCTACAACTACATTGAAACCAAAATGCCCACACCATCCCATAATGCAACGCGAGGAGGGAGGGAAAAGATGTGGGTATGGCTAGAAAACAACCTTATTTTTTCAGGGCTGGTCAAAAAATGTCCATCATTATTTTCCCTGAATGGAAGTTTGGGTTTTTAACAAAAGGTTTTTAATAGGAAGCATCTCTTTTCCTCGAGGTTTTTCATTTTTTCCACCTAGGAAGGGGTGGGGAGGGGATCTCCACATTCAGCAGTTTGGGGCTGAACATTTTTTTTTCACTGGCCAGTTACCAGAAATGGAAACAGGTCTTTTAAAATTAAAAATGTAAAATTCTCCACTGAAAATTTCAAACAAAAGTGAAAATGCTTTTCAATCTCAACAAAATGGAGTGCAAAGAGGTCATTTTGGACCAGCTCTCTTCTTGTGGAAAGTAAACCTGGATCTTTTCTAGTTGAGCAAAACACATAAGACGTTCAGTTTTGAGGATGCAAACCAAATACGAAGGGGAGAAAAACCACCCCTTGCAGGGGGTTGATTTTCTTAAACAAAAGCAGGCAAAAATTTGCAAAGCGCGATTTCGACGGTTACAGAATCCCACAGCCTAAACCCCAATTTCTCCCAATCCCAAGCCAAAAATCCCAATGCTATTCATTTCCTCTCCACACTCTGCGGCTATTAGCAACGCACAGGCGCTGCACTAATTCCACCCCAGAAGCTTCTGCATTTCACCGGTGGCTGGAACACATCATGCTATAAATGCGTGTCTCATTTACAATGAGGCCTAACTCAAGCCAGCTGTAAAGTGGGGGTAGCTGTAATTTAAATCCTCTTTACATTATCAAAGCAGTGTAAAGAGATTTTAGCATAAATGAGAACCTGGCCTATATGTTGCATTTTGCACAAACGGAAATGACTAAGCAAGATGCAGGGGGAAAAACTGAATCAACCCAGAGCCCAGCCTTGAAGTCAGAGAAAAGTCAGTCTCTAAATGTAAGGGATGATTATTGTTATGTATGATGTTTCCTCCCCAATGCTTCGCTGAACTACTGAGGAAAATAGTACTGCAATGTCTTCTCCTTTTTTTAAACTCATGCCACTCTTAAGCACGTACCGGGATGTTGGAAGCTAATCTCTCTACACAAGAAAGGCAAGCATATTTCCTATTAATGTCAATCGTAGTTATGCATATAGAGAAGAACAGAATAGACACTGCTGAGTGTTAACCAGTCAAATCAGAGTGCCCAAGCAAGCCTAAACGGCCGTGTGTAAGCTGCAATTTGGATCAATGTCATGCCAATAAGTTGGGCTTTTTTTAGGGTCAATGGACTGCACTGGGGAGGGGAAGGCAGCCAGCCGTTGGCCAGGTCTTTGTGGGGAGGTTTTTATGCAGGCTTTGGAAGCGGCCCGATCTCTAATTCAATGCTTGCCGATTTCTATACGCCACTAACAATAACGAACTCAACCAGCCCTCCCACCTTCCCTGCGTCATTTCCCTGCAGAACGCCACGGCTCTACATACGCCCTTTGAGCCAGGCCAAGATTATGAAGTCCACAGGAGACTGCGGACAGTGACCTAATTAGGGACGGGGCAATATGCTTGGTGAGGAGAGAGAACTGGCTCAACGTGGAGATAAAATAAGAGCCCCCAGATCTATCTCAGCAACAAAGAAGTGGATCAAAGAAACCCTATTTGTACCACGCCACTGGGCTCCATTCATGCCACTCTAGAAACATTTAGGGTGGGTGAAAATCTGCACCCGTTTTCAGGTTCCTTTGCCCTACAAGACCGATGCGAATCAGACCCTGGGGATAACCAGACCCTAATTTGTCCTTGCTGCGGGCACAACGTCTGGTTCTCATGGATAACCTGGCACCTTTATATCACTGGCAGGATCAAAAAAACTGATCAAGTGGGGTGTACATAGGTACACACCTTAAATGTCCTATATAATGTCTTTGAAATGTCTCCATAGTAGTATGAAGAGGCCAAAGTAAAATGGAGGGTCAGTCCCCACTGGACCCATTCCCACCAAGCAGACAGGCAGGATTTGGCCCCATAGTCCTTGTTCTTACTTACCAGGGCCGGTACAAGGTAGTCGCCTACTTGCCTAAAGCCCTTTCCATCCTACGGATCAAATTCATTCCTGCTGTCATACCTTTGGGGCCAGTGGAGCTACAGCAGGGATGGACTTAATCTCAAGGGGTCAACAAACACGGGCTGAATGTCTGGCTGTAAATCCAATGTCAGGAGAGAAAAAAATTAGCCCTTCTCCCCACTCGCAAACCTCGATTTTTGCTAATGTCTTTGTTTGTCTGCAGCATCTTACACCCGCAAATTTAGCCTATGGGGTATGTTCTTCAGCGCTCACGGTGCACGATTGGTCAACTAGGAAAAAGGGTCTCATCACATACTCCTGTTCCAGGTCCCCGATTGGATGGCAGATGCTTTTTTTAAAACAAAAAAGCCTGAGGACAGCCAATGGCGGATGGCAAAAGGCAGATTAGCCAATACTCGTGCTGCACAGAGGCGCCCTCACTTTCCACGTGACCACGAGCGTTCACAGGCATTTCTCGAATGTGCGTTCGAAAGAATCCGGTCCCAGGAGTTGGGAAGAGAAATAGCAAGGGGCAAGAGGAACAGCTGAATGCAAACAGAGGCCTGTAAACACTTCCCACCCCGTTCTGCCAGCCCTGTTCAACCAGCTCCAGCGTCACATGTTTCCTCCATGTTACCAACGTGATAAGTTTGATCTCTTGGGGGAGGTGGGATGCCCTTATGATAAAGCACCGGCTGGAACTCAGGAGACGGCAAAGCTCCCCTTGACTTCCACAGGGCCGGGATTTTCCCACCGCGTGTCTGGCTTGGACACAAACTCTCTGTCCAATATTACATGAGCCGCTTTGCGTCTGAGCTAAACTCAATGGGACCTTTCTCACTGACTACTGGGCGCTGCAAGTCAGACCCTCACCCTCCCTGGGACTAAATCTCCACTCTTGCATCAAAAGGGATGCGGAAACCCAACAGGATCAGAACGATCTTACATTGTGCTAGTGGAAAAGTCTATACAAGAGGCAATAAATCCTAGAGGCACCTGCAAAATTGGGAGTTATAATGGTTTCCTTTCAACACAGGAAGGTATAAACCCCTCCAAACTCCCTTAGATACTGAAACGGTTGAGTACCTAGTCAGATCATTAGCAAAGAAAAAGTAAGGGAGGTTTTTCTTTGGATGTCCATGAGTAGATTACAAATAGAAAGTTATGCAGTCACGGATTTTTTTTGAATTACAGGGCCATAGGTGGTGATGGTGGAGGAAATATTTGGTTTATTAAAATTTGGAATCATCATTTGAGCAGGGCAAATCATTCACATTGCACTGACAACTACATCAGTATCCTGGATAAGGCACCAGCATCAGTTTCTTCTGCTCTTTTAAAAAGTTTCTGATGAGCTCAGTCAACACAAGAGAGAAAGTAACAAGGTCCAGGAAAGTTCAAAAGCGAGCTCTTTTAACATGCGCCACAGGAGAAGATGTGCATGAAGTCCCAATGCTACAAAAGGTTCCTGTCCAAAATTATCTCAAGTAGTGGCACGGAAATTTTGGTATCAGTATTTTTTATTATTATTATTACTATGAAATCTGTTTCTTGGAATCACAGTCCTGAGCCTAATGGGTTCTTTTAATCCATTAAAAGACTTTTGACTTCTTCTAAGTACCATCAAGACACTTTTCCAAACAGAGTGATACATTTTGCAGGTGAAGTCTAAGTCATTCAGTGGGACCTTTAAAAGCCAGTGAGATGTACCCAGTCCAAACCTTTGACCCAAACTCGTCTTTTAAAGTAGAATAGGTAAAATTTCACAAATTCCATAGGGAGCAAGTTGACAGGTAATCCAGTGAAAGGCATAAAAACCCAAGCAAATCTGAAGTCAGAAGGGAAGAATTACACACCACTCAATAAATTCCCCAATTTATGCAGTTGCACACAAAACTTAGGGCTTTGTTTTGGGGTTTTTTGGGGGGGTTGTAAATTCCCAATCTTGGAATCTTGACTCCATTCAAAGAACTGAGCAAAGACAAAAGTTATTTTTTTTAAACATTCAGAGAGGTGCATCAGGAGGGGGAAAAAAAAGTCACACAGAAAATTTTCAAGACACCATTTTCCAAATCACCATATCCACTTTTTCTAGTCCTGATTATCATGTTACATCTGTCAGGGAACAAAATTAAAAACATAACATATAGGGGATGGGAAGAGAAGACAGCAGTTTGTATTTTCAAAACAACCATGAACAACACTAGGTGATTGCTGGTTTATTAAAAGAAATTATTGAAGAAAATAATCCCCACTGATTTATGGATTCTTTGAAGGTGCCCAATGAGTTAGATAATAAAAGTGCATCCCAATTCTTGAAGCTCATGCAGGCTCCAAATCCATTATCTAATTGGAAATTTTACTGGTTTAATTCAATAAAAGTTAAACAGTGGAGAAAGTTGGCACCCTCCATTTGCTTAGAACAGGAATTTTTTTTGGCATGCACTCCCTCAGTAATTGCTTGAAATTATAGGCTGTAAATAGGTTCTTTAAAAAAAAAAAAAAAAATCCTACCTCGTGTTTAATTCCAGTTGCAAAAAGATGCCTTTTCGTCTTTTCTTTTTCCCCCTCCTCTCACTGCCTCTCTCTCGCTTTTCGGTTTCTGTCTTTCATCTTCTCGCTTCCGAGGGGTTTCTTTCTTCTCCACATCCTCCTCAGGCGTGTAATGGGGTTATTTTTACTTTCGGTTATCTAGCTTTATGAAGAATTGACACCACTCATACAGCTAGATAACCAAAGATAACAACCAACCCCTGAAGTCTCCGCCATCAGCAGGAAGAAAAAATAAATAAATAAAACACCTTCTTTTCCTCCGATGGGTTCCAGCGGCATGCGTCTTTTTAGAGGGAGAAGAAAGGAGAAATAAATAAAAAGATGCAAATGTTAACACTAGGAGCCGCAGCATCAGGGCATCAATGCAACATGGGCCCAATCCTGAAACCCATCAACGTATGGCAAAAACTCCCCTCAACTTCTCCAGGCCACGCACACGCATACATCTATGTCTACATCTCTTTAAGCCAAATGGACGACCACATCAAAGGTCTCCATTCTGAGCTGTGCAAAAATCTGTTTCGACCCTCACCAGTTGAGAAGACCCGAGATCCCCACCCCCAAGGAAGGACAGAGAATTTAATTCCACAGAGGTATTAGTTGAATGGCCTGAACTTGGGCAAATCAGCAAGTTTTCTTTTCTTTGGTTGATCAAATGAAATGAAATAAAGTCAAATATAAGGTAAAATCATTAAAAAAAAAAAGAATTAAAGTGAAACTATAAAGTCAACTAATAAAAATGGAATTAAAATAAAGAAAGCCAAATAATAGAGGGAAAATAAAGCAAGTAAAATCAAGTAAAATAAAATAAAATTATGAAGTAAAGTAAAATAATAAAATAGAGTAGGTACAATAATAAAATAAAGTAAAATAGAATAAAACAAAGCAGAATACAATAAAATAAAGTCAAAACCCAGGGGCTGCCATGAGCCAGGGTCATTTCTCCTGAGCTAAGCAAGCAGGTCACTCGCACCCTGGCTCCAAATCATCATCCTAGATGACCTGAAGTCCCTTCCAGCCCGCATTTTCTACAATTACTACGATTCTCCCCCCTCAAAAAAGAGGCGCTGGATCTCTCCAGCAAGATTATTCTTTTGATTGCAGATTCAAATTTAATTTTCGATTTCAGTGGAGATGGACAAGCCATCCCCCACCCCCTCCATCCGCCTCTGATGCTACAGGAGAAGGGAGATGAAACCCGCCGGGGAAGGGGAAGGGGAAGGGGAAGAAATGGCAAAGGAGAGCGCGGGGAGCCGGGAAGGCAGCGGGTTTCTCGGCACCCGGTGCACACGCACGCACACGCAACCCTCCAGCCGCCAGCCCTGTTCCCCGCAGCACTTACACTCACGCACAGGCGGCGGATCCGAGCCGAGAGGAGCAGCGCGCGGCCCGGCCCGGCCAAGCCGCCGCCCGCGCCCGCAGCCGCACTGGGGAGGCCGCCCCGCACTTTTCATTCATGCTTTCGCACTCCCGGCCCTCGCCGCCGGCCGCGATTGGCTGGGCGCCGCCTGACGTCACTGCCCCC